CTACCAAGGCGCTTTTAATAGCATGCTCACTATTAATGAATACTGAAGTAGTTTTCTCATTATTTTTATTTACCCTAGGAATTACAGGTAGCTCTCGATTTAGAACAGTTTATTTAGTAACTGTCCAAGTTACAACAGCACTGAAAAAATGACTTATGACCCTTTTTCACACTTCTGACCATTGCAGCATCCTGTTGATCATGTGATCAAAATTTGGACGCTTGGGAATTGACTCACATTTATGACAGTTGCAGTGTCCAGGGATCATGTGATCACCTTTTACGACTTTCTGACAAGCAAAGTCAATGGGGAAGCCAGATTGATTTAACAACTGTGTTACTAAGTTAACAACTACGGTGATTCACTTAACAACTATGGCAAGAAAGGCCATAAAATGGGGCAAAATTCACTTAACAAATGTCTCAGTAACATAAATTTTGGGCTCAATTGTGGTTGTAAGTAGAAGACTACCTGTATATCCATATGCTACTAGGCAAATATTTTCAATCATTTCAATATGATTATATGAAGGGTGCGTCCTGAAAATAATTGAATCTTCCACCTCATAAAATTGTTTTTTTTTTTTAAAAAAAAAGAAAGGATAGATTTTGTTTGGCTAAATAAAAATTGCAATAAAATAAATGGCCAGATTGCTCTATTGTTGACAGACAAAGCAGAAAATTTTGTGATATCTTTAAGATTAAAAAAATGATTATTTCACGAGATTTTCTGAACTACAGTACAATGTAGTTTCATTTCCACATTGAAATAAAATATAGAAGCCCAAAAAGTAATGGTAGCTATGCACAAGAGAGTTATTAGGTTACATTAGCATTCTTGTACTAGTGAATGGATTGGTCTTTATTTAATCTGTATTAAAGAAGTAAAGAATTACTTCTAGATTAGTTCTTTTATGAAAAGTTATATTTTTAACATTCTTCTGCCTGAAGAGAGCCATCTATCTACCCGGAGATCAGTGATAGGATGCTATTCCTGCTAAATTGCTTATGTCATAAGTTTAAGTTTTTAAGTTTTAAGTTTAAGTTTATTAGATAAAACTGGTTATAAAGGAAACTGGCTTTTAAAAAATAATTATGGATTTCAGGTTTTGGCAACTATGCTGACCAGGATTATGTCTGGGTTCCATTATTCTTGATTAGTGGACTTTCCTGCTTCTTACCCCTCTCAATGAAGCACCAATTACTTTCTTTTTAGTGGATATCTTTGGGAATGTGCTGTGAACTGATAAAGAAAAAAACAACAACTCATCATTTGGGCTAGAAGGGGAAAGTGCTAGAACTCTTGTCAGTTTCACCTGGTTAAAGTGTGATGGGGACAGGTTGAGGATTACATCATATTTACCTGGCAGGGGAGATAACATAATCATGAAGTGGTTCTAACTACTTAATTTTGGCTGCAGAACAATGTAGTGTAAATGAATGATCCATATATCTCAAGAAATATGGATTGTTGAAAAATGGAGTGTTGAAAAATGGAGCAAGGAATAATCTTAATTCTAAAAACTGATCAGGCCATAGGGCACACAATTCCACAGATACATCCGCTTGGGGCAGAGTTAAAAGAAACTTTGGCAAGAAAGCAAACTTGTAATCTAGTGATTGTAGCTGAAATGTTTCAACTGCCAGGGATAATTAGGCAGCACTGTTGCTATTCTTAAGGTTTTTAATTCCTCATTAGCTAAATGTCTTTTTTCATCATGCTAATATGTAAATAATTGAAACTATAACTTAATTTTGTGGCCATGGGGGTGATGTAAATCTTAGAATAATACTGTTTTATGGATAAAACGTTTAAATTAAACCTGACAAAGAAAACAGGCATCTTATTGAAGATGTAAAGAAATTTAACAACATTACAAAAGTAGGCTACTAATGTTCCTTTTATTTTAAATAAGACTCAATCTATTAAATGAAAGTAATTTGACACAGACTCAACTGAAAATTTTAGGACTGGGATAAAATTCCAATATACAATCATTCTAAACTAATCTATGATGACATTGTTGCGATGATGACATGAGGCTGATGGTGAGAAAGACCTCACCATGTGTGTGACCTTTAGCTTCTTGGAGATAACATGAAATATAAATATAATCAATAAATTAAACATTATGCTTTCCTAGTTCCCCAGGGTACATATTTTCTAATTTGCTTTTCCAGCAGTCTAAACAGAACTGCCAGCATTATAGACTCTGCCTTCCATGAACCTTTTTAATTTGGGGCCAGTCACTTTCTCTCAGTCCAACTCACCTCACAGGCTGGTTGATGTGAGAAAATAGGAGGGAGGATTAAATAAATAAATGATCCTACATAGGATCTTACCCCTAAGTTTAAGTCACATCTGCTTTCAGGTGAAGGGCAGCACTTGGACTTGAATGACATGATGGGGAGTCACACATCAAAAAGACTTATTGAGGTCAAACCAGAGATTAAATATGATTTATTCCACTCACAGGTAAGATTAAAATTACATATTTAAGTAATGTTATATATTTTAATAAATATTAATGGGTATCCTTCAGTTACACATTTGATAATTTTTGTTATGATTAAAATTACAGTTTAACAACTTTTGACAGTCTCTGGGTGCCATTGCCTATGGGGACACACACACACACATGGGCTTCGTCTTTCAGTCAGTACTATTATCCTTTGCATTAGAAACTATTCCTTTAGGCAGCAGTTCCTGTAGGACAGAATATCTCCAAAGGGTTAGAAGAGGGAGCTGTGAGGGCTGTGTATCGGTCCTGGCCTTGTTAATCTTGTACGCTGCTAAAACACCATTACCTCAAAAGTGAGCAAGGTTCTCTGAAGGGAATGGAGAAATCCCATTGTGTGCTTTGATTCAGCTACCAGAATATCTTGGGGAAGCTTTGATTCAACTGACCAGAAGCAATGCCCAAAGGCATTTTTGAACCATGAATTGGGATTATTTTATAAGGACTTTAGTGCAGGAGTGTCCAACCTTGGCAACTTTGAGACTTGTGGACTTCAACCATGGCTGGCTGGAGAATTCTGGGGGATGAAATCCATAAATCTTAAAGTTGCCAAGATTGGACACCCCTGCTCTAGTTTATAATCTTACTAGGAGTTCAGTGGGATTTATTGCCTAAAAGATGGAGCATTTGCTTACATTCTTACTGTAGTTTCAAATAATACAATATTCTCTGCAGCAACACTGACATTTACAAATTGGCCCACATTGCCTTGTTGCTATTTTTGCCATTAGACAAAGGAATGACTAAAATTTAGCCATTGCTCCACCCTGGCATGACTTAATGGGCTAGGCTAGAAAAATTAATGCCTATCATAAGAACTGAACCTTAGAGAGCTTTCATCTAGCATTTGTCTATAGATTTGGATAATAGCAAAGTATAGTCTCAGGGTTTCACTGCAAGCTTCACTTTTTAACACTTACTTTTCATAGGTCATATGTATTACTAAAAAAGCAAATGGCACAGACAGACAATGATCCCAGCTGACAATGACTTGACAATACATACCGTATCTAGATCCTTCACTGACATTTATGGTAATTCTGTTTTTTTTTTAAATGTACAAAATGAAAACTGAACTGGCTCATCTGAGGTTCCAACATGCCATCTAGGAGATTGTAGGATTTGAAATCCAACAAATTTGTGTGTACTTAGTTGATTAAAGGTGTGATAAACCAGTTAGTTGATTTTTTATTGAATGTGTGCCATCAAGTCAGATTTGAGTCTTAGCAACTACACAGATTGAGTTTGTCCAGGAAATATAATTACAGTAGTTAGTTGTAAAAAGCACCAAGATAATGCTACATGCTTGATTCTGAAATCATATGAATATTTAATTCAATTATAATATTAATTCAATTATATTTAATAACATACTAAACTGTACAAATGCTTAACAAATTTTATTTTTTCTTTGATCCCCCCTCCTTCTATAAATGATTGCAGAAAAGAATTCCTGATACAGAATGATCACTCAGGCTAGGTTTGTTTTTTTAAAATGTATTTCTCTTATCTCAATCCTTTCAGAGTTATCCAATGAACTTACTTACCACTCACTGCTGCAATTAGGCCTTTCTGTTTATCTGTTTTTAAATACCTCCAAATAAACAAGCAGTTCTTATTTTTCCAGGGAATGAATTTAGCCTTAAGTTTGTCTACCTTTTCACTTTACCTTTCAGTGCTTTTTAACAGAATTTTTGATGTGGAAAAATGCATGCTTTTAAGCAGTCTTATGGGCTTCGCAAAGCAATACTGTACAGCTAAGTCATGGATAAGATTTATTTTCTTTTTTTCATTTGCAAAGGGAGAATAATCATTTCAGTGCCACACATGATCATGCTAAAATAAGTGGCTTTGCTCCAAATATATCTCAGCTCAGCCTGGCTGGATATAATTTAAGTCTCTCCCCATTTTATTGCAGGACTCAGATACAATCTGCTTTCATTATTAATGGCAAAATCCTCACATGTGAGATTGGCATTTCTTTTTAAAGAAACTTGCAAACATGTTAGCTTACGCAGATTCCTAAGCAAGGAGTTGCTCTGTCAACTTGGCAATGAAATAGGGCTCTTACCCTGTGACAATTTCAAAGGGTGGCAATTCCTCCAGTTCCTTTGGCTTTTCCCCCTCCGCGGATTCCTCTGCATTTTCTGCATTTTCTGCATTTTCAGCCTTTTCACCATTCTGGGCTACTGGAGGTTGTTCCTGCTTCTCAGCCATCCTGTTGTACTGTAGTGGGTGCCCAAAGACCACAGCAGTGGCCAAGAACTGGGCACAGGCTTCAGAAGCAGAAATGGAGCAGGGAGGGAGACAGAGAGCTGGAAATGGCAGTTCTCAGGAGCTATATATGGAATGGGAGCAGTGGCAGAGATGGGAATAGGCTAGGATGACCCCCAGCGCTCTCAGATATCACCTCCTTCACTTTTAACTCTGGCCTGAGACATTCTTTTACTCCTCTTTTATTTTAAATATGAAGTGATGAGTGGAGCGTGGGTGGATTAGGTAATGGGGGATGCAAAAGTAACCTATTTATCCATAGCCATGACAGAAATCTGACACGGTGCAGAAGAGCTGGCCGCTTTCCTATGCTCTTGGACTTACTGAGATGCCTTCTTCCTGCCCTTGAGGGACTACCTTCCAGAGGTGTCAGAAAGAGGCAGGTAGCTTTATTAAAAAGAATGCTCCTGATATTATTAGGTGGAACTGAAATAAAATGTCAGAGGGTTGGTTTTTTTGTTCAAACCTGAATTTTGTTCCTGACATGAAAGTGACAGCTTTAAAATGCCTTACTTCTTAGGCAGATGTATTGAAAAGCACAGACTGAAAATATTTCAGGTGAAAGTATTGCGCTATTATCTGAACCTAATTGATTTCAGTTTCCTCACCTCCTTAGGCAGCTGACAGAAAACCTGTTGGACACAGTTTGACTTTCATTGAAGATTTAAGAATGCTATTATAAAAGCCTTCTAATGCTCAGCTGGCTTTTTCCTTTGTGACTTACAGTCAATCTGGCAGTGGGAATATTGTGCTCAGCTGGAATTCCAAGTTAAGGGACCAGCACCAACTGCTATTATCTTGAGGCAAGATATTAAAATAAGAAAAAGAATGTGCAAATGAATATGGAAATGTGAAAAATCTAACTAGATGAGGTATGAAATTGATTCCGCTTGAGATATGGGATGGACTCTGCAGCTGGTTTGTAAGAAGTAAAAACTTGGTTCCTTCTCTGAACTGCAGTTGGTGCTGCAGCAAAGAAATGAAAGTGCACTAATTTTTCTTATTAGAGGATTTAAGAAATATACTGCTTACTCATTATTCATATTCACTCAGCAATATTATTTTGCAGATAATTGTATTAGTGAGACATGCAAGGTAGAAGCTAAAGTATGGTAGATAATCTTATACTTTGTACTCACTTTTACAACCTTTTAAAAAAAAGTATTATGATATCAAAACTGCTTAGATGGTTGACTTACTGTTATACATTGATATATCCCATGATTCTCAATTATTTCTGATAAATACCTATTCTATAGAAAGGCAATTTGAAAAAATAAACACACAACAAAGCACTCAACAAGCATATTTGTAAAACGTATACATTTGCAAATATATATTAGCCACATTGACAATTGTAATCTGTGTAATTTACAAAAATAATATGTGATGTGAATTTAAAATGTTTTTAAAATGTATTTAATTCTTAAATGTTTTTTATAATGATTTTAAATGCATTGTGAGCCGCCCTGAGTCTTCGGAGAGGGGCGGCATACAAATTGAATAAATAAATTAATTAATTAATTAAAAATAGTGACATTTTTTGTACTTCGGCTTATGAAAGATGAAGCACTTTTTTTGCTGGTTCTTTTACCCTCTGCAGCTCTTTCAGAATTGAATGTTTGAAAACAATATCCAGAATGGTTGCGAATATAGCACAAATGGCTATGTTAGAGAGAACGGGGAACAGTGAAATACCCTGTCTTGTAAAATTAAAAGTAGATTTTTAAAAACAAAGCTAACTCTCAAAATAACCCAGTAAACCTTTGTAAGAGCATTTCAGTCTATCTAACTCAACTTTTTCTTATCTAAATGAAATGTTTTATTTTTTTTCTTCAGTTCTTCTGTTTAATATAGTACTTACAAAATGATTGCCAATGTTCAAGCTTCAGAATTATTTAGCAGAATTTCCATTGTACCGGTACCGATTAACAGGTAGTACCAGGACTTGATTGTTGGGATGCGTAGAACAGTCATGGTGTATTTGGTAACCTGCATTGTTGGTGTGGGTTTTGTTATAAAAATTGGCTAATTAAGAACAAATGCTAGATATATACCAGTAGATTGCAATCATATATCTATATTGCAGCGTAACCCATTCAAGATCCATGTTGGACCATAACTCCCATAATTCCAAGCCAGGTAGCTGGGGATCATGATAGTGGTTGTACCATATATCGAAAGGGCACTCTTTGATTTCATCTTATTAGGAGAAGTGTTTTTTGTTAATTTTTAAAAAATAATATGAAATACTTTTGGCACAAAGTTTTATTGTTTTTTCCCTTAACTTATGTTTAAATTCCAGTATTCCAAACCTATGACTGTCACATTTGACATTTTACAGAGGAATTATAGGGATGGGAATCCTGAGCTGTTGAGTGATACTCTTCCCCTCCTCTTCTTGTGTCCCTCTGGCCAGCTTTATTTTTGGAAACTCTTGACTGCTGGATTAATCAGGGTCCCATCATTCTTACTGCTTTAACTTTCACTGGAGCCAGCCAAGCCTTGCAGATCAATGTTCAGCTTTAATCTTATCTCTGGAATGTAGATCTGGCCTAGAAGTTTTCTCTCCTCAGCTGCTGCCGAACTCCTTCTAGGGCAGAACTCGGCATTTGCACAGACAGACCACCAAGGGCTCTGCGTAGACCAGCCACAGATGTTACGTAGCGATGCTATGTTTTACAGATCAAATGGTTTATTTGATTCTATACATACAAAAAGCTATATTTATTTGCAGACATAAACGGGTGTATGTGTACACATACCGCCCCCCCCCCAATCTATTAGAAATAGAAAGAAAGCATTGCAAAACAAAAGGATGCTGACCAGGAACCTAAACTACTTTACTGAAATAGAAACAGTCCATGTTACAGATTTACGTTTCATCTCTTTTTGCCCCTGGTGGTTTTCAAATCAGTTGATTCATCTTATGCCTGATAAAAAAAGAGGCCTCGCCCATTGTGGAAGAAAGTATGTTATCCTCCCCCAAACTAGAATGGGGAAAATATAACAAGAAGCAGAACCCTGGATTTTTCTAGTCCAGTTATAACTAAGAAAGTCTCCTGATTGAAGATGTGGAAAAGTGCCACATATCATACCATTGTTAGCCACAGTTTGATCCAATGTGAGGACAACTGCCTATGAAAACCTTAGGGAAATTGGTGTTCTCAGCAAGCTCTACAACACATTTGTTAAAGTAGTGTGATCCTTATGCAAAACTATCTTCTGTAAACTGGCATTCTCCAGATGTGATGGACTTCAATTCCCATAATCCCTTACAAGTCATTGGCTATGCTAGATAGTTATGAGAGCTGAAGTCTAGATACATATGGGACAATATACTTAGATGTTCCATTTGCTGAATATGCAGTAGCATCCACATTGGATGACTTATCAGCTTTGTATAATAATTAGGAAATTTATTTTATGTTAAGGCTGCTTTGTTATATAAGTAAATAGAGTTTAAAAAGAACGGTTGCAATGATTTTCTATAGCATACCTTTGACGTCCTCATTTTTTTATTTCATTGTTTTTATAAATGCAGTTTGACATGAGTCACTTTTTCTATGACAGTTCAAATGTCATCCTGACACACATCTCATACGGTTACGTCCAATATTATTCAGTACTTCTATATTGCCCTGCCAAAATTGTCCTGCAATCTGTCAAGTTTATTAAAAACAATGCAGGGATTCTTGTTCTTTTTAATGTTCAAACATATTAAAACAGTAACAATCTTAATTTCTATCACTTATAAGGCTGGTCAATCACAATTTGTGATCTAGTCTTAACTTTACTCACTATGACTAAAGCTAGCTTTTATCTCATTGTCTTATAAATATTGTGCAGCAGTCAAAATTGCCTTGGCTCTATCTATTGACAGCTCTCCTTCAAATTATGTTTGTGTTTAGGATCTTTTGTCAATCAATTGTTTAAGGGATGCTTTGTTGGATTGCATGCCTATATTACCATAGCTTTGCTGGATGTCCAGCAAACTAACTAGGTTATTTTTTAATTATAAAGAATTCTGAAGAGCAACAGTCTCACGGGTACAGGATCAGAAAATATTTAGCTGGCCAAAGGCAAAAGTGAAATAAGACACTGTATCATGCAGAGATGAGGTGTGCTCTTTAGAATAAAAGGGACAGCTGGTTATCAAAATAAAACATATCCCTGGATATGTTGTCTGGCAGTAATTCCAAAGCTTCACTGTCCCTTCCTGTGTAACTATTGCAAAGCAATAAACAATGAATTAGTAAATAGTAAAGTAGGGGTGTGTGTGTCCTTTATTTTTCCAGCTTTGTAGGCTATAGCATCTCTCTACCCCACTCCTAATTCTTGGGAATTTTTCCAGGAGTGTCAGGAATGGATTGATAAGATTTCATAGCTGAAATCTTTCATAGCATTTGCTCCCTATTGTAGAACTATGCTCAGTATGGAGTAGCAGCAGCATGGAAAAAAAAATCAAGGAGAGAAATGCTCATGTCATATGATAGCTTGCATTATCTTTCTAGAATTAGTTTGAATTTTTTCCCTACTGATCAGCATCCTTATTAAGATTTTCAGAATGCAAGTACATCTGTAGGAGATGACATGAGTTAATTCAGAGGAGTCTATTGCAATAGATATGCTTGAATAATCTAATAGCTAGGTATATTTTGTAAATGGCCATAAACTTAGACAACCCATTTGCTTTATGGAAATCAAAGAGTTCTGGGACATAAGTCTTCACTAGGTAATTCTATGGGACATGATAATGGGAAGTAGCAATTTACCATTCATCATACTTCCTATTCCTGCTTGCTTTGAGATTTCCATAACTGAAGTCTCAGAAGGTAAATGCTATTGCATAGAACAAAAAATTAGATAAATATTACAAGTACATAATTTTTTAAAAGTTGTTTAAAATATTTCACTTGTATCTCTGTACATATAACGGTGTATTAGAGTTTTCCATTCTGTATACGAAGTAGGTATGAAATTGGCTGTGCTTCCAAGTATGCTTTTGTTCTGGCCATGCTCACTTTCTTCTAGCTCTATGCAAACTTTCTTTTCTTTCTATCTTGTAGCATAATAGTTTTGCCTACAAAAGATTCCAAATTCTATTCCTGGAATATCCAAGCCATGTTGGGAAAAGCTCCTGCTTGAAATTCTAGTGAGCAAGTGCCTCTCTGGTTAGACCAGTGTTTTTTTTAACCTCGGCCACTTTAGGATGTGGACTTCAACTCCCAGAATTCCCCATGGAGTTGAAGTTCACTCATTTTAAAGTGGTGAAGGTTGAAAAACACTGTCCTAAGTGTTTGCAAAAGATACCAAAAAACAATGTTTTGTCATGAGGAATAATTGTGTTTTCTTCACGTCACTAGATGGTGCTATATG